TGCTCTTTGTGCTTGCATTCTTTTAGCGGCAAAAGACTTTCCATAGAATGGGCGTTTCCTGGATGGCATAATCACCTGTATCACTAAACAGTAATTTGCAATTCACAAAGATACTAAATCACTTATGAAACCACTTAGCACTATTTAAAGAAAACTGTTTTTGGAAATACTGAATTGACAGCAAGGTGATCTGAGTGTCTCCCGCCAGAATGCTTTTTGTGTGCAAAACGTGCTTATGTTTGTATGTTTATTACAAAAAAAATGCCGCAATAACCATTAATTGTCAATTTTGTTATTAAATACTACACTAAATACAAAATAAATAGAACCATTAAATTTCTTGTAAAAAAACTGGTTATTATGAAGTTATTTTAAGATTTGTAAGCTCAACCGTTTGGTTTCCTATAGCGAACAAAATAAACAAATTTCCTCTTTTATGTACATAGATGAATATTTTAACTTTTATTTGTACAATTAACAATGTATTAATAAGTGCCCTCAATTTTAAACTTGTATGATACTTGTCTATGAAGAAAGTTTCTTTTGTATGTTCATACTGAAAAAGTTCATTTTGTATAAATTTAATGTTATAATAGTGGTATTTTACTACAAACAATTATTTTTATATTGATATTTAGTCTCTTCATTGAATTTGCATTTTAAAAAAAGTCATGTCTAGCATTATCTAATAACTAACTAAGCATATTGGAAAAGACAGAGGTATTATTAATGCCTGACTTTACATGTCTAATTAATAGTCTCTTTGATTTGCATTGTTTTTTCATTTTCTGCTGAGTACAGTCATTGCTTTACATACATACCTAAACATTTGCCTAAAATTTATTTGTAGTTAGCCAAAGACAAGTTCTCTTCGAAAGGTTAACATCTTAAGTAAACACCAACAACATGTCTTAAGTTTTATAAAAATTATAACAACAATAGTCAGATACATTTTTTATTATAACATGCATTACTATGTCATTAAATTATGATTAAATCAAATGTTAACAAAGACAAATTTACAAAGTTTTGTATTCCTAATTTACAGGTGCAAATCACACAAGGAAAAACTGAGTGTGTTTTGTAAAAATTGTCGGCAGTGTATTTGTCACCAGTGTGCTCTGTGGGGTGGAATGGTAGGTTTTTTAAATACTGTTTGATAGATTTGGAGGAATTTTTCTAGTAAAAGACCCTTATTTACAAAGGTTTGACCAAAATTGTGTTGTTTTTTTAGTTTTCAGGCTTTTTGTTACCACTTATCACCCAAGACTAAACTTCTATACAATATTCAGTGTTTTTGAAGAACTTTAGGATAAAATTCTTGTGGGTTGTTTCATCACAGTGTTCTTTTTAATAAATTTCGTAGCCTTAGCTTGTAATATTAAGTTGTTTTGTTTTTTTTGTACAAAACTGTATCATGTTGCTGCTGAATTACTCTTAGTACAAGTTTCATGGAGGTATTTTTCTGCTTGATTTATATTAACTTACACTCAAAGTAATATACTTCCTTGGATGAAAACTTAAAATAAACCCCCTAGTAATGTATACTATAACTCTGAATGTTCAAAGTATATCATCATGAATATGACAAGCTTTTAATAAACACAAGTTTTCAACCTCCAGAACTTCTTATATGAATATCCAAGCTTTTCTTTTCAATAAAACTATTTTATCAGTTATTTTCTCTACCTTAACACTTTGTGATCTTGGTACAGTTCATTGACTTTGTAACCTCCACAAAAAATACAAATTAATTTTAAATAGCCCATTTTTTTATAGAATAACTACAGATTATAAAAGACAATTATAAATATTCAGTCCTCTTTCCTTTTCACAACTATTTTCATTTCATTTTGTTTTATTTATCTTTGAACCATATCTAAGTACTATTCCCGAGAAAAAATAAAAATTGTGTGAAGACCACGTAGCTCAAGTGATGTAAATGAATTCAATAATTAATGAACAGCTCACATTTAAACCTCGCTGAGAAATTTTTTTTATTTAACTTTTTCAATTATGTTTTCTTATTTAAACACACAAGTTTCTAATATTTACATTTTAGCTTTTTTAAAACAATAAATAAATAAAGTATATGTGAAAAAACAAAAGTAACTTATGTATGGCCTTTTTTTGTTTTGTTTCTCTTGGAACACCAATAAAGCTTAAGTTTTGTTTTATGTAAACATGATACTAGTACTGAAATTGTAGGGTAAAAGCTTAATATTTTTTGTCAGGTGAATATGTTCTCATATGTAAAATTACAGTTCTGTCAGTGGATGAGAAAACAAGGCAGTTGTTGCTAGAAATAGATATATATGCACTTTTTTACAGGCCTTGTGTAGTTTTATACAGAGTTTGTGTTTGGTGTATGCATTTTTAAAAAAGCTAGCACTAAGGTTGTTTTGAATGTACCTCTGTGAAAGATCATGACATGTACACTTTGATTCCAACCTTTGAAAGACACATTAAAGAATAGACTATCTATTTTTGAGTGTGAACTTGAAAATCTATTCTTGAGTTACACAAATATGATATACATACACTTCAGCAAAAAAGTTTGTTAAAGGTTTTATTTATTCGCATGATTCTAGAGCTTCACAAAAGTTATATTAAAATGCTCAGTTGATGCACCACATGTTTCTTTCATCCAGGTATTTTTAATAAGATATTTGGTGAATCCAAATGTAATTAAAATCAGTAATTGTTTAAAACACAAAAATCCTCAAATTAATGAAAATCAAAACTCATGTAGTTTTATTCTTTTGAATAAATACATCAAATTTAAAGGACATATTGTGTGACTTTAGATACTTTTGTAGTATTGATATTTTGCTAGGCTTAATTTGTTTTAGATTGACTAATCAATGCCTTGGAAGTAGGAACACCTTAGAACCATTGGTGATGTTCTATTGATGCTCATGATTTCAAACAGTTGGTCATTCATCTTATGTCATTAGTGAAAATATGTTATTTTTGGGTGCAATTGATCTGTTTCATGAACTAATGCAAAATAAACATAAGTTTGTGCATAAACTTCCAAAAATATAGTTTTCAAAAATCCATTATTAGCCTAAAATCTAGTTCTTCTTTTTTTACATTAATACAAGCTGAAAAATAAGACAAGTTTTGAAATATATTTTGTGTGTTTAAAATTCTTTATAAGATGTTATTAATTTCGGTTGATTAACTCTTCAACAGTATGATAGACTTAACTTCAAGGCATGTAACTGTTTTTATCTACTTTTATGATTATAAAGTTGTAGAAACTTGTCTTGGTTGAGGAAGAACATGTATTATTTTTTTTACTCATCTCAAGAAACAGTGTACAGAATATGACTACTGAAGTAATGTGTAATAAGAAGAATGTGAAGTCTTACTGTTGCCATCCCTCTGAAAAGTATTTAGGACTCATTTTTTTATCACAAAATAACTATCATTGGAAGTTTTAAACAATATGGAACATAATCAATACTTCACTACTGATAAGCTTTTAAAGACTGCCAGTTGTTTGACCTAAGAGAATATTCTTCTTTTTAAAACTATTTTGATAAGGTGTTATTTTGCCTCCGAACCATAAGTGGTACTTGGGCATGGATAATTTTCAACATTTATTTAAGCATGAAAAATATATCATGTGACAGTGTTTGTATAGTTTATGAATTTTAGAATCACTGTATGATGAAGTATTAAAAATTATGATGCTTAACTTAACATTTTAAAATGTGTTGTTTTTTTTAACATCTTTGTTTCTTGTTTTGAAAAACTTGCAATCCTGGTGGAAACTGCAACCAATTTTATCCTAACAACAACAACAGTTAAACACAATGTGATTATGACTTTTCTTAATGAAATGTCATCTTTCACCACAGCATACGGGACATGTTTTCAAGCCTCTTGAAGAAGTTTACGAGCAGCATGTGAGCAACATCAAGGAGGAGGTTGGGCAGCTGAGACGACGTCTCATGGAACTGATCAGCTTAGTTCAAGAGGTGGAAAGAAATGTTGAGAGTGTGCGAGCTGCAAAAGATGAAAGAGTGCATGAAATCAGAAATGCTGTTGAGCATATGATATCTCGATTAGATTCTCAACTAAAAAGCAAACTTCTTACACTCATGGGTAAGTGGTTTATGAAACTATCATTTACCTTAATACCAATGAAAGTCATGCAGAATTTAGAAATTTACAGTGTAAAGTTTAACTATCTCAGAAGGAGCCAATGTTCAGTCATTGTTATTGGGTTTTTTTAGGTGCAGTTGGTTTAAAAACATTCACTTGGATATAGGTTTTTCTTAATTCATACTTTTTTAATGATAATCTTAAAATTTTGTACATTATTCTGTGCCACTAGAGCAGTAGCAACCAGTGAAAAATATCTAAATATAAACAGTAGTACTCTTTCTTAAAAACATTTCAAAATAGAAGAGAATGTGAAACGTATAGAAGCATCCCCACATTGGAAACATATTTGCACAAATCCTAAAAAAAGAGATTGAGATAAATAGTTGAAAACACAATTAAACAATACACAGATGGGTTTTTAGCAAGAACAAAAGTTGTGTTGATGCCATGCTGAAAATATGACAGCTGAGTGAAAGGACAGTAGAATGCAATTAACAACTGAACTTAGTTTTTATTGACCAGGTAAAAATACAATAAACATTTGATTAGGTTGACAGAAGTTCGCTATGGACAGTTCTAGAAGATTATGTATAGAGCAACTTACTGGACAACATAAGAGATTTGTATAAGAGTAGCTCATTTGTTGTTAGAACATCAAGTAGACCAACAGATTGGATAGACATAGCATCTGGCATGAATCAAGGATGTGTCCCGTTACTCCTACTCTTCATAATATATATGGACCATATTACAATTGAAGCAAATTTAATGCTCACAAATGATCGGGCCTTGTATGACAAAGATGAAAAGAAACTCCAAGACCATCTTGGGAAGTATAATATGAGAATCAGCAAGGCCAAGACAGAAATATTGAGTGTAGGGAAGACACCAAGAAAACTACAACTAAATATTGAGATCCAACTGACGCAAAGTAACGAGTTCAATTATGTAGGAAGCATCTTCAGTGAAGATGGCAAATTAGATAGAGAGAGATAGAATGTCTAGAATTAGATAGAAACCAAATGCCTATCATTGATGTAACCTATCAATGTCCTCCTTGCTGTCCGTTTAAAAACATCTTTCAGAAACAAAGAGAAAAATTATCAACGTCTTACTTGCACAAAAAGAAACTTTCATACCAATGCTAGGTAAGGACAGTAAGAGATTTGAACAAAGAAATGTGTGAAAGGAGATACTTTTGTAAAGCTGTTAATCCTATCACTATGGATAGGTCAAAGAGCACATGTTTATAGTTACATTCAAAATTTAATTAAACTTCTTTATTATCATTGTACATGAATAAACTTGGTATCAAAACTTAGTGAATAAATCAAATTTTAATCTTGTAAGGAAATATTCTCAATCTCCCCTAGTATGAAAATTGTGACGTTTGATCTCTAGGTCTTTCCTCCTCTTTAATTTACTTACCACCCCCCTGAGAAATGTGGAACTTAGCGTAAATTACCTATTATAATATAGATATTACTTAGGTAAAACATAATTTTTATAGCCTTCAATCTTGTTTGTTTGGGGAGCCATAAACTAGGGAATCAGGCCTACTTGCTATACCCACCAGTCACATCCTCCCTTTTGCAAATTGCCAATAGTTCTTTCTGATGTTTTATACTATATTAGTTATAACCAATTGAAAGCCAAAGTTTTAATGTATCAAATGACGTACTATATTACATTGTTTTCTGTACAGAGAATTTTTTGTTTACTGTTTTAGTTTGAACTTTGTTTTCATGGGAATCACATAGACTGGCTTAGCTGAATTTTTAAAGGCTCTTATCTCATAGTTAGAAAGCCAGAAAAATTATGATAGTTATAGAACATTGTTTTTTGGGTTTTCTATTATTTTTGTGTTTTAAGTGCATTATTTTATTAGATAAGAAATTTAATGTAGTAGTAGTAGTACCATTAGTTTAAAAAAAAGTAGGCCTAAGTCTCATCAACAGTTGACAGCCAAAAAAAAAGACTCGGGTAAGTAGTGTATTTTTTGTTATTTCACGTGTATTCGTTATTTATTATTATAAAAGTAATTAAAATGTAAAAATTACAAACTCATCAGGTTAGATAACATTAAATTAGGTAAAATAAAGAATAATAATGATAAAAATTCTTCATAAAGTTTCTCGTGAATAGCTCGTGTTACATAATTTGATAGGATAATGTGAGCTACATGCTCACTGAATGATTTACAACTTGAAGGATTTTTTGGGAGGGGGTGCAGAACTTGAGATTTTGCTAGAGTGTATTCTGGTCACCAACACAGTAAGGCTACCACTAACCCCTGGAAAATATTTAGTCTAGAGATCAAAACTATGTGAAAAATTGGCCAAAAATGTGAAATCTTATTTTTCTGTGACCTTGACCTCACCTCATATTACATAATTATTAGTATTTCATTAACAATAATATCTATACAAAGTTTCAATGACATCCATGCAAAAATAGTCAAGAAAAGTTCTTAAAATGTGAACTTTCATATATTTTATTTTCTGTGACCTTAACAATCTCATTTCATGAAAGTAGATTGTCCAGCTGAATCGTGTGTGGATGGTCTATTAGGCTAAATCTAGCCAGACTGCCTAGATTAGATTCTAGTAAATATACTCTAGGCCTTCATTTAGATCTAGTAGGTCTAGATCTGGATAATCTAGCCTAGTATTAGAGGTCTAACAACTATATTCTTGGGCTCTAGCCCTGAGGGTTCCTTACTGGAACTGGGCCTAGATCTATAAATCTAGGCCCTAGAGATCTAGTTTACCTGCGACAAAGTTTACTGAAACAATCTTTCCTGGTCTTACACCCAGGAGTCAGCCATTTGTAAGGTGGCTCAGTAGACATATGTTACAATAGACCTATTGATTTTGTCTAGGCCCAGCTACATTTATTATTTAGAATGTCATCCTACACAGCCACGACACTGTCGTGACTGTTTTTTTTTTATCTTGTGGCCATGTATATTAACCTAATGCATCCAGACATAAACCCTACAGCGGAAGATTTTAATAGTTGTATTTTTGCCTTGACATTGCTATCAGTGTGTCAGTCAAGAAATCATGTGTGTCCTTACAAATGAATTTTATAAAGTACAGTAACCTAACTTGTCATATTTATAACGAAAATTTACTTCTTGAGTCAGAGATCGCTGTATTTAACGGGTATTAACAATGCATTTACATGTATTCATTTACAATATTAAGGATGGAGGGTGCAATCCAAGAAAAGGAGGGGGTTCAACCTTGATGGGGGGTCCATTCACACCTGTCACCTCACCCTGCGGACGGTCCTGAGTTGTGTGGCAGGATTATTAGTTATATGGTTCAAAGGGCAATAAAAAAAATAAAATTCAAATAGAAACAGATGTATACTGTCACAAGTTTTAAGCTGTTTAGGATAAACAACTGTAGTTTCCTGTTACAAATTGCAGTTATTCTAGAAAGAAAAAAGGGTAATTTAGATTTATTTCATTTTTTTGTATGGTGGTTACAAGGTTGGTCAAATTGACCATATTTTTATAGTTAGGGTAGAGAAAATAACAGATAAAATATAGTTTTACTTAGAAAAAAGTTTATTTATTTAGGAGGCTTTAGAGATTACGCAAATAAAATATGATTTCTAATCTTAATATGAAAATCTCTGCACTCACAGCAGTCAACATTTCGACTTCACATATTCAGAGAAATTTTTAGTAAAAATCTTTATTAAAAATTGTGATTTTTCTACAAAAAACTTTAGTGTTTATATATTATATGTTTAATATGTTTTATGTATCTTCACAAAATTAAGCAAACTTTTAGTAAACACTACGAGGTCAGTTTGAGGTCACGAACTCAGTCAAATTGACCGACCCCATAGCAAGAGAGTTAACAAGACCAGACTAGATAAAGTAAGAAATTAAACACTTGGAGTGAGACCAGCACTTGGTTCACTCACTTAGTGTAAATGAGTCTGCAGTAGCTGAAACACAAATAAAATGTAATAAAGTGGTAATATATGGTGTGTTTTTTTAACTTTGAACTGATAATTTTATTGATGAAAAATTGATTGAAACTTCCTTATATTGTTAGTGAGAATTACCAAAACAATCAAAAGAATATGCCCCCTGTGGTTCAGTGCTAAGCTCAAGGATTTGTGAGCTAAAAATGGGTTTGGATGCTTCTGGTGGACATAGCACAGATTGCCCATTGTGGAGCTTTGTGCTTAATAACATACAAACAAATAAATCAAAATAATGTAGTTTAAAATTTTTTTTGTCTTTCTTCCTATTCGAGTAAGAACATGTTTCAAACATAGTTTACTTGTCGGTGGGGATAGATGTGTGTACGAAACTTTGAAGGAAAGATTTATTTAATTCAAACTATCTGCTGGAACTAATTTTGTTTACATTATTTTATTCTTACAAGACATGTATATACATGACTACCTTGTTGTAGCTGAGTTTAAAAAAAAAAAAGTGATACAGATACCAGATACATCCAGTAGCTCAAGCAGTTAAACCCAAGGACTAATGGACACAAACAACAACAAAAAGAATAATACAACTTTATGAAATCTGGAAAATAAAATTGGGTAAAACAGAGGAACAATAAGTAGTCAACCATTTATCAAGCAACTTTCATCAAAACTTAAGCACTTGTAATCTTATATAGTCTTGAAGAACTAGTAATAAGGTAGGATGTTAAGAAAGTATGACATGCAGTTCATGTGATTGTAGGGAGAGACATGCGTGTTGGAACTGGACATAGTGCACAGTCAAAAGAAAAGTGCATTGTTTAACAGTGACTTGGCCTGTGATAGTGATATATCAGATAGAGGACATGTAAGAAAACTCTGTTTGGCATCAACCAGACAGATAATGTAAACTATGTAGGTAAAGATCTTCAACATGGAACTTGACATAGTGCACAGTCAAAAGAAAAGTGCATTGTTTAACAGTGACTTGGCCTGTGATAGTGATATATCAGGTAGAGGACATGTAAGAAAACTCTGTTTGGCATCAACCAGACAGATAATGTAAACTATGTAGGTAAAGATCTTCAACAATAGAAAGTGATAGAAAATGTCCACTGGCCATGAACTTGTAAGTGAGGGGTAGTATAGTCCATATAATAACTATTCAAATGGAGAAAAGAAAAGATGTGTTTGCCATATCAAGAAGAAGAAATATACAATAATTCAACCATAATCAGAATGAAACATTTAATTCCGGAATTTGCATTGTTCCGTAAATAGTTCCTCTGGTCCATACAACATGAAAGCCGATGTTTGATAAAGTAAGTAAACCCATATTTTTGGCCTTGTTTAGTGAGTAGAGGTACAGTGAATTTTAGTAATGCACCATTGTTTCTTTTTTCTTACACTTGAGTTAGTTGTCAAAGAAATATTTCAGAATGAGTGAGTCATTATAATGCTGAAAAACCAATTTAATATGTTTATACTAACCCCAACCCACAAAATATTTGTGGTAGTTATCATGGCCTTCACTTGCATTTTCCTTATTCTATCCTTTTCACTCACGACATTTATGCTATGTTTTCTTGCATGTATTGTATTAGATCGATCAGTGCTGGTCTATTTGAAAAAACTTTTATGTGGTCAGACAAACTTGTGTATATGTAACTTTGTTTGATAAAAACTAAATGTACATAACTTTATTTAATAAAACTGGACATAAAGTAATAAAGTATAGTAATGGTATTTATAGTAGTGTACAGAGTATAAAACAGTTAGGAGCATTCAGTATATGACAGTTTTACAAGTTGAAATAAAGAAACTCACAAAAATGAACACAACCCATATTAAAAAGGAATCTAAAAGGTGTTTATAGCAGTCTATGGAATGAGCCGAAGCTACTTTATTTAAAAGTAAAGTAAATGTAAAGTTATATTGGAGTCAGACTTACCTGAATATGCATAAATGTCTGACTGTGTGTTCACAAAGTGATAAACATATTTTAGACCAAAAGAAGTCGAAAAAGCCAATAGCAAATGGATTAAGTGTTATTTGTGTTAAATACTTTGCAAATAAAAAACTAAAGTTGAAATCCAAGCCAGTTGGCATGTCATTAAAACAACATTGTGCCATTGAGTAGCATGGCTTTTACATTAAAAAGTTTGACTAAGCAAAAAACCGGTAAGATGATTCTGAACGGTAAAGGAAATATGCAATCTGGACTCTTTGGACAGAGGCCTTTCTAATGATACGAGATTTGTAGTGTTTGATCGAGAAATTTGCAAGAAAAGTTCTGGACAGACAAACTGATAAATGCAAATGTATTATTTATCTAGATACATAATCATAGGTGTATTTTGTATATTGGAAGATTATCAGACAAAAGTACAGTAAGATGTAAAGTTATTGTATGCATTCAAGAATTTCTGTGTTTTAATCAGGTCAGAAGAATTCCTTAACTCAGGAAACAGAACAACTGGAGTCAGTTCTCCAATCTGTGGAACAGCAGTTGCACTCTTCAACCAAGAGTGACTTAATTACCAAAAGCACAGAACTGTTAGAAACAATTTCAGAGATCCAGAGGAAACCCATGGCTAGTTTTGTAACAGCTCCAGTCCCAGCTGATTTTCAGAGGTAAATTATTGTCTGTTAAGTATCATAAGAGTATTTAATGAAGGAATTGGGTAATCCAGTTGTTGTCAGTCCATACTGTCTTTTTTTTAAGTGTTGTTTATGTATTCAGAAAATATACTTATTAAGATTTTAAAATGATTGGAAATGGGTAATAGTGTTTTGTAGGGAATGCAAGTGTTTAGTAAAGAAATTTTAAAAGAATAATACTCTAATCTGTATTGACTTTTAATGATTGCCTTATACATGAAGTGTTAGTTTTTGAAAAATAGTTTATGGTATAGTAATTTTTATCTTTAGCTAACTTTCTGTTCAACAAATGCACTATTCTATCTTACAGATGAACATTTAATATATTTTATCAAATTTTGAAACATAGAGATTCATTCTGTTTGTTTTGTGGATTCTGATGACATATTTGCATTGTAAAAGGTTCCCAACTTTTATTATAGGTGCTTTTGTTTTATTATTCATTAACTATAAGACCTTACCTGTAAATAAATGAAGTACAAATTTCTTTTAAAAATCAATAACCAATCTTAATTCAGCAAATTTAAATCATAATTACAAAGGCTGTATGAAATCTTGGAAACATATTAATTATAATTAACATAAGTGATGCTTCATTATTAATGCAAGGTTGTAATAACACAAAATTACTAAACCTTGTAGTTAACAGATGGCCTCAGAAACATGCATTGATTTTGTTTATGGACTAATGCTTATGTCAGAAATATTACACAATATGTATAAAACAACAACAACAAAAAAGTCATTAAGAAAGTATTATTTATAACTTTAGATTCTTTCTGGTCTTTTGTAAATTGAAGCTGAATTGAAACTAATCTAAATTAGTTCATACAGAAATTTTAAAACATGTCCCTTAAAACAGAATTTTATCTGTCTATATAACTATAATATATGTGTGTATGTGTTGAGTGTATATATTTGCATCTCTATACAGGAAAAACTATTTTTGTGTGTGTGTATATATGGTTTAGATGGTGTTGGTGTTGTAATATTGTAAGTGGGTATAAAGTGAAAAGAAAAAGTAATTTTTTCAGTGTATTTTTCATCTGCATAAAAAGTTATCATTGAGATCTTTAGAAATTAAGATTGAGTTGTATTTCACTTCAAGTTTGCTATTGTAGTTTACATTTTAAGGAAGTATTTCCAATACGGTACATACCTCCTCTCACAAGATTAGCTATTGTCATTCAGTTCTACCCTCTGTAGGTGAACTTTTTTTTTATGCATGCCACAAGCCTTCCGCTCCCCTCCCTATTGGAATTGTTATATTCCAACATGTCTCTCATGAAAATCATGCATCACCTCCTAACCAATAGAAGCATGATATGCTCACGTGATGCATGTGACTCCCTCGACACTCCTCTACTGAAATATCATTTCTCGTTTGACAGTGTTTGAGTTTGGACATGTGTTTTTGTGTGCTTAATGCTTCATCTTTTCATCACAAAGTGGTTATTTTTCAACTTAATTTTCTTTCATTCAACCCAATTCCTATATTAGCATTTATCAGTTAATTCTAGTTACTTTTTCAGCACTTGAATTTGAGGGAACCTTTTCTGTGCGAGGAATTCTGAAGTTAGTGTTACCATTTCGGGGGTTACACTAGTGACAAACATTTTTTTTCTCAGGCCTCAGGTGTGGGCAACCGACGGTGGATTTATCTGCTTTTATGTGTTGAGAGATTGAACATTACATGGACCAACCTTTGTCTACAGACATAGCCCAGGCTTTGATAATCTTTTTCCACCTCCAGAGTTTGACGTATGTAACACCAGAGCCAAAGACGATATGTGGACTAAAGTTCAGGAAAAAAAGGGCAAGGGTATCTGCAGAAAAACCCCTCAGGATTTCTGTGGAGAGCCTCAGATAGAAGGTGTATGGAAGAAAGATACCATAAGAGGTTGGTAAGGGTAAGATGCAGGTGAAAATATTGGGCATGGGTAAGACTGATATTTGATTCGGGAGCTTCCCCCAAATAGGTAACAAGGAACCTAACAACTGGTGATCTAAAAAATGGACAGTCCACCCGATGGTAAGAATGGGCTAACTGATCAGAAGTTTTTGGGGTGTGTGTGTGGCATATTACTCCCCACACTCAATTGCGAGGCAAATTGATAAGCTTGAACCCAAATATCAAGGGAGGGAGGAAAAACCAAAAAGGGTTGGAAAGATTCTTCATGCAACAAGGAAGTACGAGGTGAATAAGAAATAGTTGAAAGGGTTAAAACACCAAACCTGAGACACAAAATCCAGAAAGATCGAATTAGGCCTAGGAGAATCCTCAGGTTGGGAATGGGAAGGAATATGGCTTCTTTGTAGTTGTGACCTTGTAGGTCATGATACCATATTGACTCGGGTTCGTTTGCCCTCGACATATCTCGGGGGGTTTATGCGGCCACATTTCTGAGATGTTACATTTTTTATATAGTCCCGGAAACTATCGAGCCTTGTGTGGCATCGGTCCATCAACAATCCACCCTTAAGAATATTGTAGCCTGTTTGTCTCAGACCTTCATATACCTGCAATTCTCGTTTCTAGCCCTTACCCGTTTCTTCTACTCAGGGTACTTCTTATCACCTTCCTAGACATTACACCCCGCCCATCACCAACAGTACTGGTGACTTCCCAGTGGTTTGGGTCTGGTGGGGGCTCAGCTGTTTGAGTTTCTTCATTGCTAACATCCCTTCATCAATGATTAATGGGTGCTTCAGGTTCTGTTAGATGGATTCGTTGTCCAGTTTCTTTCCCTACCTCTGGTTTCTCCTTTTCCCATCTTCTTCCCTCCTCCTCGAGATCCCTTGACCACCCAGCATCTGTCAGAAGCAATTCAGGAATTGCTCTTGCAGCAGGCATTCAAACCTATTTCCCATCCTTCCAGGGGTTTTTAATCCCGCCTTTTTTGATGTCCCTGAGAAAACTGAGGATTTGTGGCCAGTAATCAATTTATCTCACCTCAACTGCTTCATATCACCACGAAGTCTTTTCTCACCCTGAGATGGGTGTTTTCTCCAGGGTTGTGGAAGACAAAAATTGATGTCTCCAATGCTTACCTACATATACTAATGTTAGCTCAGTCTCGTCCTTATCTTTGTTTAGTCCATCTTGGGGTGGTTTACCAATTTTGGGCCCTCCCCTTTGGATGTGCCTTAGCACCTTACATGTTTTGTTGAATAGACCGAGCTCATGCATGTCATCTCCATGCTCTGGCACTGCAATTTCATTATTACACAGATAACTGGCTTCTTCTGGCTCATTCCGAACAGGAATTGGCCAATCATACTTGGTAACTACTTTCTGTGGCATCTTGGGGGCTGTTTGATCAAATTGGAGAATTCCTTCCTCAGACCCACTCAATATCTTGACCATTTGGGGGTCTTCCTTGACACAAATTTCAGTCAAGCACTGCCTTCTTTACAACTTCGTTCATTGGAACTTTTGGTTCACCACACCCTCTCGGCTCAGTCACTTACTGCTTTCAAAGTTCTATTACTTTTGGGGTGTGGTCTTCCATGACAGCACTGGTTCCTCTGTTATGCCCATATGAAGTCCCTTCAGTGGATGCTACCTGAACAATGGAATCTAGCTTGGGATCCTCTTTCCACCCTCATTTCCATTCCTCCTTCCTGCAAGATGATCTGCATTGGTGGCTGAACAAAGCCCATACATCATATGGCATGCCGCTCCTCCCTTGTGTCCAGATCTACATCTTTTCATGGATGCATCCCCAAGAAGTTTCCAGATGTTGGTCTGCATGTGCATTGCATATCAATATTATCAAACTTCTGGCTGTATGTTGCATCACTTCTTTCTTTTTGCCTGAAATTGTCTGGTGATGGTTCATTCGGACAGTTCTATGGTGGTGGCACATATCAACCACCAGTGGGGCACCTGGTCCAGAGATCTATGTTTTTGGACATTGGATCTATTATACTGAGCCCACACACATCACATTTGCCTTATTGCATGTCATATGCCAGGTGCTTTCAATCTGGTCACAGATAATCTTTCAGCCCCCAAAAAGATATATCCCATGGAGTGGGCATTAGATCCCTTCGTTTTCAGGGATTTTTGCTATCTGTAAGGTTTTCCCCATGTGGATGCCTTTGCTACAGGCCTCAACACTAAGTTACCTCTCTTTTGGTCACATGTACCTCATCCACAGGCTCTGGCAATTGATGCCTTCAGCCAGGATTGGTCACACAAATATCCTTATGTGCACCCATCCATCCAATTATTTCATTGGGTGATTTCTCTTGTCCACTCCACTCCTTGTCAAGTCCTATTGGTTTCTAAGGTTACAATAACTGCTCCTCTTCCCCCTTCCCTCTTCTACTTTCTCCCTCCCTCCTTCATCAACCTCAATCACATGTCCTGCATCTTCATGCCTGGCTTTTGTCTGGCCCTTAGTGAGATGCTTCGGTTTCACACATCGAGTCGCTTCCTTGTTAACTAGTTCTATCCATCTATCTTCCATAAAGGTGTACTAACACAAGTGGAAGGTATTCTGCATTTGGTCTACTACCAGCTGACAAGCCTACTATGGCTCGTGTAGCAGAATTTCTCACCTGGCTCTTTGACTGTGGGTCTGTGGTCTCCTTGCTTTCCGGATATCGGTCAGCCTTATCCCATATCTTTCATTCTTCCCGATACCTTTGGGTTTTTACTTCCACTGTTCTTACCATACTCGTGCATTCCTTCTGAATATGTTGCCCTCCCAGGCATCCTGTCTTCCGGATTGGGACATTAACCCTTTCGAGACGGGTCACGGGTGAAAGGCCATGTCATCTCGTTTGTTGACTCTCATTCAGGATTTTATTTAACTATTTCATGAACTTATGTTGATAACTTTTGTATCAGAGTGTAGATTGTAATTCTAATTTGAGTACTATATATTTCTCAATTTCTTAATTTAAAAGCAAATATATAAAAAAAACACAAATATCGATTTTTGTATGTCACATGGTATGTTGAA